CTATCTATCTATCTATCTATCTATCTATCTATCTATCTATCTATCTTCAGTTGGAAACCTGAGAATAAACCAGAGTAAACCAAAAGTATAAAAATGACATTTATTGGACACAGTTAAGTGTCTCAGTGGGGTCTGACAGACTAAACCCTCTCTCTGGGTCTCAGTGGGCAAAGAGCCCTGAGATCTGGGTGATGGGCATTATCTCCTGGGCTCCATCCGCCTCCTCAAAGGAGGACTGGACACAACCAAGTCCTATTGGCCAGTTACCTCTGGGCAGGAACAGGCCAGGTCCTAATTCATGCAGATGACAGGAATGTGGTAACAAATGGTGTGTGTGTGTGTGTGTTGACCTAAAGGTGGATCTAATGCAACAGAGAGAGAAAAAGAGAGAAAAGAGAGTCTGTGGACACAGCCAGAGACTTTGACACAAAAATATAGTTATGAAAGAAAAGAAAACAATCAGTAATTTACACAGATCATGTGATAGCATATGATGCTAAAGTGAGTAATTATGGCCAAATACTAACACAGTGAAGCCTGAGTGTGGCCAGAAGGCAGAAAATGTAGTTAGGAAACAGATGTTTTTGTTTCTCTAGTTAAAACCCTTTTTATTGGCTGTTCAGTCCCCAAACTGCTCTCATTTGCCCCTCCTGCTTGCCTGTGGCGCCCTCTGCTGGCCAATCAGTAACACTGCAGCCGGTCAGTGTTTGGGTCTGCAGGCCGACTTCACTTTGACCCAAATCTGAATTTAGTTTGAAACCTTAAACCACACAGAAGAGTTATTTACTTCCCCGTGGCTTCTGAAAACACTGGGTCCAGGTTCACCTTCACAATATGTATATATATATCTCTTTCTTGTGTTTCTTTGTGTCTTTTTTAACTTGAAAATGTCGTCCGCTACCCAGAATGCAATGCACCATGAAGTTGTTGTTCTTTACATCCATCACAGGCAAAAACCCTGGTTGGATTCCAATATTATTTATGTATCTGTTATAAATGGGTTGATGATGTTTATTGGTTGCTCTTAAAATAAACCCATCTCTGGTAACCGGCCTTTATAAACTCACATTTATAGTCAGATGAGATCATTTATAGGAGCAGCTCGGGCACAAAAAGGGTCTCGGTTTAACCAGCAGATGAGAACAGATTTATAGAAACTGAACAGATGAGAACAGAAAACATGCTTTTTGGTGTCTCAGTTTGGGTCCAAATTTTAAAACATTTCAGAAAAATGAAGGAAGAAAAAAATCCACTTGATCCGCTCACAGTAGAAGATTAGACAGACACAAAAACAAGGACAACACATTTATTCAGCAGCATTTAAAAAAAAAAAACAGTTTATCCCTCTTACTGTCTTGTTGTATTTGATAACTTTACATATTTTGAATCCACATAAGATGATGTTATTGACCTGCTTTAGTTCGTTAAGTTACAAAAACTCGTCAACAAAAGAGTTTTGTTTTTATACTCGGAGAAGTCTGTCCAGCTCCTGAACGTTCATGGAGACGACGTTTAGTGAACAAAACTGGACTCACAGAGAGAGTCTTTTCTGTTTCAGAACTTCCTGTTATATCTAATAACTTTAACTTTTGTTTCAGAACCCGGCGGCGTGTACGAGATCCGGCTGGTGGCCTTTAACGGAAACGGGGAGAGCGACTGCTCCAAGAAGTTGGTGTCTCTGGCTGAGCTGGGCCCCCAAACGCCGGGTATGTAACAAAAACCTGTTTAAGGAGTCCTTTATTCTACGATTCAGGATTTAGTTTTTATCTTTAACCTCCTGGTTTCCTGTTCTGATGGAGGACGCTGCCTCTCTGCCTCTCTGTACCAGGATCCTGCTTTTCTCTTTGACCTTTGACCTCTGGGCCTCATAGCAGACGCTATCAGACACTACTGTTAGAAATCTAAATGAAAATGCTTTTAGACATATGATCCAAACGGGCCAATGGAAGCAGGGCTGCTGTCCCATGTGAAGTCCGATCCCACACAAGCATTAGCATTAGCATTAGCATCCCCTAACCCACAGGTCTGTGTCCTAACCATTA